ATTGCAGGCTCAGCCCAGGTCTGACTTGGTAAAAGAGGAAGCAGGAGACAGGTTTGCTGCAAAGCTGAAGGTGAACTCTCCCACATCTGATCTGATTTTGGGTTTCTGGGTTGATCAGTGTGTCACTCACAGCAGCTGTCAGCTGTTAATGTAGTCAACAACTTGATGCCATCCGAACCACTAGCTTAAGTTCTTCCAAGGAGGCCTGAGGGTTTTCTTTCTTTTCTAGCAACTCAAAAGACCCTGTTTATTTATTTTATTTTATTTATTTATATTTTATTTTTACCCTGCATTCAAGCTAACAAGTTATGAGCCCTGTGCTTAAGAGTTATTAAGTATGTGCTTTGTATGGTGTGGAATATTCTTGGCCGGACACAGTGGCTCACGCCTGTAATCCCAGCACTTTGGGAGGCTGAGGTGGGCAGATCACCTGAGGTCAGGAGTTGGAGACCAGCCTGGCCAACATGGTGAAACCCCGTCTCTACTAAAAATACAAAAAAATTAGCTGGGCGTGGTGATTCGTGCCTGTAATCCCAGCTACTCCGGAGGCTAAGGCAGGAGAATTGCCTAAACCTGGGAAGCAGAGGTTGCAGTGAGCCGAGACCACGTCACTGCACTCCAGCCTGGGCAACAAGAGCAAAAATTCCATCTCAAAAAGAAAAAAAAAAAAGTGTGGAATATTCTTTGGCTTCTTGAAACATGCCGTGTTCTGCTGGACGTTGTCATAAAGTCAAGGCAGAGAACATCTGAATCTTGCTGTCTCAATTTCTCCTATCACACTTCCTGGGAACTTCTCCTTCATATCCCATCAAGCCCAGCTCCTGGGTTAATAGTCCATCTCGAATTTCCAATAACCTACTGAGAAATCTGTTTCTTAATAGGTGAGAAGGCCAGGCGTGGTGGTTCACGCCTGTAATCTCAACACTTTGGGAGGCCAGCGTGGGAAGGTCACTTCAGCCCAGGAGTTTGAGACCAGCCTGGACCACATAGACAGAATCTGTCTCTTCTCCTCTCCACTTAAGAGAAAGCCCATTCTCCAGCCCAGGACAGAAGATTGCAGTCATGAATTCACTCACTCCACAAATATTGGTTGAATGTCTTCTCCGCAGGGCATGATTGCAGGTGCCAGGGTTGCAAGAGTGACTAAGGGAGAGGGGCCCTGCCCTCATGGGGCCTCACTCCAGAGGGGGTAACTCACCTCCAAGAGGCCAAGCCCTGGGGCCTGGTGGGGCTGGGAGAGTGGGGACAGTGGGATTACCCACACGGCTGCAGTGACCAAAGGCCCTTCTCTCCTGGCCACTAAGGACTAATTAATTTAGCAGCAGATGCTTCGGAAACAAGAGTTGAACCTTTGCTGGTAGATACAGGTGTGATCTTGTTTCTTAGAGACCTCATAAGTCAGCATGAAGGAGTTCTCCCCCTCCAGCCCTGTTTCTGATCCTGCACCAACAAAAGCCTTTGTGCAGAGGCCACTTCGCTGGTGTCAGCATGACTGAAAACACAGCAGAGCTACTCTGGAGTGATCACTCTGTGAACTTTGATCAAAACGACGCACAGTTCCAGCCCAAGTGCCAACACCTTCCCCTTCCCTGTTTCTCCACAGCCAGCCTCTGAGGACACTCCAGAAACTCTGGCAGGTGCTGCCCAAAAGGCCAGCCTGTCCAAAGTGCCAGAGGGCCAAGGAACAGTTGCAGGCAACCTTCCAAAGGAGAGCATGCCAATACTGCTTGTGTGTCTCGTGAGAGAGAGGTGTGAGGCCTCCCCTGCTTTGACAGGGCCTAACGTGGGTCTGTGAATGAACAGAGAGCAAAAGTGGGCCCTGAAATTGGCAGAGCCTCTGATTTCCTGAGTCAGCGCTGGCCAACAGGTCGGGAAGGGGGAGACTGAGAAAAACGATGCAGCTAGCACATTCTTAGTGAAATCTTGGCTGGATTTGACAGACGTTCAATGACTCCTCTTCCCTCTAGACCTATAGCTCACACCGAAGGAAAAGGAAGATGGTGAGCCAAAACAGAAGTCAGAAATGCAGGCAAGAGGTGTCTGTTGGCTAAGGACGGTCTTTTATAAAAGCAGCATTGCCTCAGAGAAGGTCCTTGACATTTATGTCTCATGAGCAATGCAGATATCAGACCTTAGCCACCAAAAAGTGGCCCCATGGCCATCTCTAACCCTGACCTGTGCATTGGAAGGAGAAGCAGTTCATGCTGGAGGAAGGGACAGCATAGTCTCTGACCCCAACACTTAGGATGAGGGTATACTGTACTTTTTTTTTTTTTTGAGATGGAGTCTCACTCTGTCGCCCAGGCTGGAGCGCAGTGGCACGATCTCGGCTCACTGCAACCTCTGTCTCCCAGGTTCCAGCGATTCTCCTGCCTCAGCTTTCCGAGTAGCTGGGATTACAGGTGTATGCCACCATGCCCAGTTCGTCCGTCTGTCCTTCCTTCCTTCCTTTCTTTTTGTATTTTTAGTAGAGATGTGGTTTCACCATGTTGGCCATGCTGGTCTTGAACTCCTGACCTCAGGTGATCCATCAGGATCACCTCAGCCTCCCAAAGTGCTGGGATTACAGGCATGAGCCACTGCACCCGGACATATACCGTATTTTGAACTAAATTTCTCCCAGCCTATGTCAACAACACTTGCCATAGTTCCTTGTTTTCCTGAGAGAGACAGTAACTGCCATCTTCCCTCTGTAGAAGGAGAGCCTAAGGCAGATATGAGGTACTGTGTCCAGCATCAGTAAGTCTTTAGAAAATCAAAGAATAAAATAAATATCTTCTTCAGGGTCACCTCTTACAAAGACCTGAGCCACCAAGAGTGTCAGAATGGCACAGCCTCAGCCAGACATGGTGGCGCAGGCCTATAATCCCAGCACTTTGGGAGTCCCAGGTGGGAGGACTGCTTGAGCCCAGGAGTTTCAGACCAGCCTGGGCAAGATGATGACATCCCATCTCTACAAATTATTTTTTATTTTTTTGCCAAGTGTGGTGGCATGCGCTTGTAGCCCCAGCAACTCAGGGAGAGGCTGAGGTGGGCGGATCCCTTGAGCCCAGGAGTTTGAGGTGCCAGTGAGCTGTGATTGCATCGCTGCATTCCAGCCTGAGCCACAAAGGGAGACCCCATCTCTAGAAAAAAAAAAAATGGGACAGCTACTATGGAAAGCAGTGTGGTGGGTCCTCAAAAAAAAATTAAACAGAATTACCATATATTCACCAATCCTACTTCTGGGTATTTATCCAAAATAATTGAAACCATGACTTCAGTTGAAAGGAAATAATTGTGGCCAGGCGTGGTGGCTTACGCCTATAATCCAAGCACTTTGGAGGCCAAGGCGGGTGGATCACCTGAGGTTGGGAGTTCAAGACCAGCCTGACCAACATGGTGAAACCCTGTCTTTAAAAAAAAGAAAGAAAGAAAGAAAGAAAGAAAGGAAATAATTGACAGGAACTCACGAAGATAATTGTATATACCCAGGTTCATAGCAGCATTATTCACAATAGCCAAAAGGTAGAAGCAACCCAAGTGTTCATGGATGGATGAACAGATGAAATGTGGTATACGTAAAATGGAATGGAATATTATTTAGCCTTAAAAAAGGAAGGATGTTCTGACACATGCTTCAACATGGATGAACCTTTAAGACACTATGTTAAGTGAAATGTCAGTCACATGAGGACAAATACTGTGTGACTCTACTTATGTGAGGTGTCGAGGGCAGTCAAATTCATCGAGACAACAGCAGAATGGTGGTTACTAGTGGGTAGGGCAGTGGAAAATGGGGAGTCAATGTCTAATTGGTCCCAGGCTTAGAACCTGGGTGACGAAATAATCTGTACAACAAACCCCCGTGACATGAGTTTGTCCATACAACAAACCTGCACAGGTACCTGAACCTAAAATCAAAGTTTTTATTTTTTTTTTTAAAGAAAGGAAAGTGCCCTTTGCAGTTCCACACAGAGGCTCCAGCATTGGGCTGAGATAATGCACTGGTTTTATGGTTATCGGATAGCTCATTAGACATAACCAAAGCTGCTCTTCCTCCCTGGTCTTTCTTTCCTCTGTAACTGAGTCATCACCCTTAGAGGCAGAAGAAAGCAAATTATTGCAGGGCTTCTTTAGCATTGGGGTGGGAGGAAATATTAAAACATGCATGGTAAAGATGTCACCTTCTTGGTGGTAGAAAAGCCCTCTTGAGCAAATCTGCATATATTTGCGCATATATATATATGCACACATACACCCTAACCTGAAGGGGACATCCAGCCCTTCCCACTTACAAAAAGACAAATCCTTCCGATGTCTCTTTTACAGGGTATGTGGAGAATAAAAATTTAACTATTGACCGGCACGGTGGCTCACACCTGTAATCCCAGCCCTTTGGGAGGCCAAGGTGGGAAGACTGCCTGAGGTCAGGAGTTTGAGACCAGCCTGGCCATCATGGAGAAATCCCGTCTCTACTAAAAATACAAAAAAATTAGCCGAGCGTGGTGGAGTGCACCTGTAATCCCAGCTACTGGGGAGGCTGAGGCAGGGGAATTGCTTGAACCATGGAGGTGGAGGTTGCAGTTAGCTGAGATCACACCACTGCACTCCAGCCTGGGCGACAGAGCGAGACTCCATCTCTAAATAAACAAATAAATAAATAAACTATTAATGTTCTAGAAATCTATAGGGAAAAAAATCACCAAATGAACATACCATTTACATTTTAATTTTAAACATGGCATTTTTAGTGTAATTCTTTATAGGTAGATAAGAGCATATCTTGAAGACTGTTTCAGGGAGGGAGAAGGGGAAATAGTAAAAGGTAGCGTCAATCCTGAATCCTTATTTGAAAAGGAGTCTGGATTTACTGTTTTCTTCTCTAATTGTGTGCTGAGCACTAGTTCTACCTTACTGTAGCAAGAGGACTCACAGGGTTTGGAGAAACTGGGCTTCATCTTTTTGCAGGATCATCAGACATTTTCCAGGGGGCAAATGGACAACACGTTGGAAAATATAAAATCATGTTTGTTTTACCTTAGGAAACAACTTGAGTGTCTGGAAGACGAGGCTCTGTGGCGCGTTGTGTAACCGGCCCGGTGAATCACGTTGCACAGACAAGCCCCGCAGGCTTTTACTGCAATAATAATCTTGATCTTCTTATTCAAACACAAGTAACAACCGCAGCCGGCTCCAAGTCACGTGTCCAGGTCACATGGCGCTCAGAGCAGAGGCCGACGGGCGATCGTTAGCGACTGCTGACTCCCAGGGAGAAAATCCTGGCTTTAAAGACACGAACTCAGTTTTTATAAAACAACGAGGACTGCAAGAGAAGGCACTGGAAGTGAGGGTAGGGTGTCATTCTTTTTAAGTGCTCTCCAAGGAAAGGAAAAGAGCCAACACACACTCCCTGCTTTCGCTCGTCTCCCAGAACTTTGCAAACTTGCCCAGCGGAGCCGCCTTTTCCAAACCTGCAGGAGCCCTGGGCTGCAGCATCCTCAGCTCGGGTCTGGGAGCCCGAGAGAGGGGCGGGCTGACTTGGCTCTGGGTCCTGGCCCTTGGGAAATGGAGGGCTGAATTCAGATCTGAATTTAGTAGAAAGCCAAGTTTTCTTTTCCTTATGAAATTAATGCTTCTGGGTGGATGGTGTTTGGGGAGGGCAGAGGGGTGAGAAGCACTGTGAGCTTATGGGGTCCGTCTGGACTTTTGGTTAACATGAAAAACAACATCCAGAATGTGGCTCCTTTAAGGTTTTCTGTGGTAAGAACAGAAACTGCAAGGCCTCTGCCTACCTGAATGTCTCCTTGTTCAGCCTTTTGAATTTAGAAAGATGTTCTTTCACTTTCTCTAACTTGTGTGGTGTTACTTTGTGCTTTCAAAAACTTCGGTGATCGAACTGAGTTTGTTTAATTTAGTGTGGAAGTGACAATGGTGGGTGTGAATGGAGAGTTTAGAATCTGCTGGAGGGAAGGGGTAGGTAAAGTACAGATGAAAGGCTTTAGCAGAAAGTCGACAGCATTTTTTTTTTTTTTAACAATCTAAGTGTGTTTTATTTAACATTGTATAGAAAGTATTTTCCCCAAACGCTGCAGTACAGATGCAGCCTTACAAGAAAATCTACTGGTGTAGTCTGGAGACTTAATCCTATTTCATTTAGCTCTTTTCAGAGAGAACAAACATACAAAGAATTTCACTGTGTCACTGAAATATAATTATTTCATGAATTGTTGTTAGGAAGTTTGGTTTTCTCACTCCTCTCCTTTTTGTCCATCCCACCCTCTTCAAAAAGCGAAAATACGCCTGTAATCCCAGCACTCTGGGAGGCCAAGGTCAGGAATTTGAGACCAGCTTGGCCAACATGGTGAACCCCATCTCTAATAAAAATACAAAAAATTTAGCTGGGTGTGGCGGTGGGTGCCTATAATCCCAGCTACTCGGCAGGCTGAGGCTAGAGAATTGCTTGAACCTGGGTGGCAGAGGTCGAAGTGAGCTGAGATCACGCCACTGTTCTCCAGCCTGGGCAACACAGTGAGACTCCATCTCAAAAACAAACAAACACTAACAAAAAATAAAACAAAGCTAAAATAAGAGTATGTGAGCCAAAGGGGTGAATCTAGGTTTCATTGGGTCTGAAGCTTATACAATTTGGAAGGAAGAGAATATAAACTTAGACATACAAAATTAGGTATTAAAGTATCACCAAATTTAGAAAAACATAATTAACTGACTAACATATCTCTAAAATCCTTTCTATCCCACATTTTGGGGCAGATATTCATTGATGGTCTCTTATGTCACTGAAACGTGAGAACTTTCGTCTTGACCAGTGATCCGTTTAAGTGTACCTACGATTGGACAAGTTTGATGATTGGAAAACTGCCGCAGACTAGTGTAGGACCCTATATCACAGCTTGTATTCCCCCTTGCTCTGGGGACATGCTCATATCATATGATGCTTGGGTCTGAGCCTTCACAACTCCATGCCAGCTAAGTTGGCATGTGGGTGGTAGGAATATCCCTGGAAACCTTTTCTAAGCTGTAGCTTGGCTATATGTAAGTGACTGCATCAACCAGGTGCAGCGGTTCATGCCTGTAATCCCAGCACTTTGAGAGACCAAGGCAAGAAGATTGCTTGAGCCCAGGAGTTTGAGACCAGCGTGGGCAACATGGCGAAACCCCATCCCTACAAAAAGAGAAAAAGAAAAAGAAAAAAAAATTAAAAAATTAGTTTGGTGTGGTGGTGGTACGTGCCTGTAGTCCCAGGCACTTGAGAGGCTGAAGCAGGAGGCTTGCTTGAACCCGGGAGGTGGAGGCTGCAGTGAGCCCTGATCGCATCACTGCACTTTAGCCCGGTGATAGAGCGATACCCTGTCTCAAAGAAAAGAAAGAAAGAAATTGACTGAATCAATAAATCATAATCAACCCAAAGCTAAAGATATCTCTAACTTGGATTCTTTAGCTAGGTCCCCAAAATGCCCATGGCCATTCCAAAGCCACCCAAAAGGAGAGAAAATATGGCCAAATGGAATTCAAGGTGGAAAGCGGCAGTGATCTGAAGCAACTAAGCATCTTACCATTGCAGCGTTTGTAACAGTGAGTGACCATATGAACAGGCTGCTGGGGCCCTGGCATGGGCCTCCCATGGGGGTGGGTGAAGTGAGAGGCCTGAGGTTTCTTTTTTTTTTTTTTTGTAATGCATCTTTATCACTTTATTCAAATCTTCAAAATAGTCTTTATGCTACATTTTTAGTTTAAAAATTCCCCAAGTTAAGTGCACCGCAGTGTGTGTAGAGAGAGACATGCAGTGCTGAGCTTCCGTAAGTCAGTGGTGCAAATACCACATGTACAGAACACACAATTTAGGTGAACTGAAATTATAAGATAAAATAAAATCCAATTTCAGAAAACAAAAATCAAAACATTAAGCATCCCTGAAATATTCTTAACCCTAATGAGGTTTCACTGGACGCAAGTCATTTTGTAGTGAGGCATTCACAATATGACCCCATTAACCCAGTCTAGGAATTTTGGGGAGCCGAATGAGTGGCTGCATCAGACTCTCTGACAACAAATGGTAACCAATTTTTCATTAACTTCATGGTAAATCTGCTTCTAGGGACCCCGGGTTCGCAATAAGTGTTTCAAAAAGTCATTTTCTGGGCTCTAGAAAAGTTGAGTATGTTTGTTTGGGGTGAACTTGCTCTCTGGACATGTTATGTGGAATAGTTTGTCAGTGTAAATTCTACTTAATAAAAAGCCTCTGTTGGGATGGCAGGACTCAGCCCCAGGAACGGTTCCTCTGGCAGCCAGGCACCCGGGAAAACCATGTGCAGGGAAAGGGCAAGGGGAGCAGAGGGGCGACTCGGCTGTTGTTCCAGACTCATTCTGTGCACAGCCCGCTATCCGAGTGCTGGATCACACACATCACACCCTTTTCGCCTCAGGACAGCCCTGCGTAGTGACTCCTATTATTACTCCTGCTCTACAGATGAGAGATGAAGTCTGAGAGAGATTGTTTCTTGCCTATACATGGAGGGAGTGTTTCAAAGCTGGAGTTCAAAACCAGGTGTGCCTGCCTCCCCTCAGCTCCGCTGGTGCCTTCGTGGCACAAAGCTGACCTTGAACCTTGGGTGAATCGAATGCAGCCCAGGCCTTCTGATCCTTTCTGTACTGGAGCTGACTTTATTTGCAACCTTATCTGGTTATAGCTCCTAGATCTTTAGTTCTGTTCCTGCAGACCATGATCTCATTGCCTGCTAAAATCATTAGGGATTGCAGCCGACAGGATTCCCTGACCAGTTTTAAAGTTCCACTCCTCCCCATTGGATGGTAATGATATTTCCTGCCTTTCTCTGCCCGTGCCCCCTTGCCCTGACTAATGCCATACTTCACTCTGGGCACACCACCCCACTGACTGCCTCTAGAACAGGCCCTATGCTTTTGCCTCACGCACAGCAGAAAGACTCACCTTGCTGAATCACTCCCTTAGCTTGTCAGGACAGTATTTTGATTCTGGAAAGGCTTATGAGCGTGCTGTTTGTGGGAGGAAAGGAGGCTGTCAGTTCAGGCAATCTGCAAATGTGCTAATTAGCTGGATGGAAGAAGCCCGAGTGCAAGCAGCGGCCTCTCCCCTCCCGGAAGAGCTAACCCGTCCAATACAGTTTCCTGCCTAATGTCGCCATGCTCTGCCCTGGGCCGGGCTGTGGACAGAGGCTAATGAGCGTTACTGATTTTTTTTGCTTAGAGTTTTTCAACCTCAACGCTACTGACATTTTGGGCCAGACTGAGAGGTAAGTGAGAGAGCTTCCTGGGCATCATAGGGTGTTTAGCAGCCTCCCTGGCTGCTACTCAGCTCCTCTCCCCACTCCCACCTAAGTTGTGATGATCAAAAACAGCTTCAGACATTGCCAGATGTCCCCTGGGGGTCCAAGTTGCCCCTGATTGAGAGCCACTGCTTGAGCTCTGTTGACAGACTTTGTCACCATCGGCATCCAGTTCTGTAGATTCTTGAAGCACAGAGGCGGGGGGCGGGGGGAGGTAGTGTGGGTTTTGACATGCTGATAGGAGGCCGATGCAGGAGTGGGAGAGTTGCACACTGCACACAGAGCTAATCCTCTTGGATGAGAGTATTGTGAGGAAAAAGGTAATAATACCTGTGAGTAGAGATGCATTCTCATTTCCCCATGGTCAGAGTGAATCTGAGACAAGTGGTTGCCTGAAAACTTCAGCTTATGGTTGAGGGTTCTCTGGTCAGAGATTGGGTTGGAATCCCTGCTCCCTAATTAGTCTTGTGACCTTGGACAAGTTACTTTATCTATGCCTCAGTTTCCCTATTGTAATATGTAACAATAATATCTATATAGTAGAGGTGTTTTAAGAATTATGACCAGTAGTTCATGCCTATAATCCCAGCACTTTGGGAGGCTGAGGTGAGCGGACTGAGGTCAGGAGTTTGAGACCAGCCTGGCCAACTTGGTGACCCTGTCTCTACTAAAAATACAAAAAAAAATTAGGTGTGGCGGCATGTGCCTGTAATCCCAGCTACTCGGGAGGCTGAGGCAGGGGACTCGCTTGAACCCCGGAGGCGGAGGTTGCAGTGAGGCAAGATCACACCACTGCACTCCAGCCTGGGCAATAGAGCAAGACTCCGTCTCAAAAAAAAAATTAAATGACAGTGCATTCATTGGTTACACAGTGTAAAACACGTTACACTGGTTAAGCACTTGATACATAGTAAATGCTTAACCAGTTTAACCTATTTTTAAAATTTCTGAACAAATCTCTGATTTCTTATTTTTATTTTTATTTTTTTTGCGAGTCTCCCTCTGTCACCCAGGCTGGAGTACAGTGGCATGATCATGGCTCATTGCAATCTCCACCTCCTGGGTTCAAGTGATCTTCCCTCCTCAGACTCCTGAGTAACTAGGACTACAGGTGCAAATCACCATGCCAGGCTGAGTTTTTGCGTTTTTTAGTAGAGATGGGGTTTTGCCATATTGCCCAGTCTGGTCTTGAATTCCTGGGTTCAAGTGATCCATCCGCCTTGACCTCCAAAAGTGCTGGGATTACATTCATGCGTCACAGCGCCTGGCTGTTTTTGTTTGTTTTTTAATGATACAGATAAATATATTTCTCCCCAGATTCTTCAGATAACTTTGCCAGCCTCCTGGTTTGTTGATCTGGAGACAGTGTACTAAACATCAACTTTAGAATCTCCTTGCTTTTTCTTTTTTTGAGATGGAGTCTTGCTCTGTCACCCAGGCTGGAGTGCAGTGGTGTGATCTCGGCTCTCTGCAACCTCTGCCTCCCAGATTCAAGCAATTTTCCTGACTCAGCCTCCGGAGTAGCTGGGACTACAGGTGCGTGCCACCACACCTGGCTAACTTTTGTATTTTTATTAGAGATGGGGTTTCACCATGTTGGTGAGGCTGGTCTTGAACTCCTGACTTTGTAATAGCCCCTGTCTAGGCTTCCCAAAGTGCTGGGATTATAGGCGTGAGCCATTGTGCCTGGCCTTTTCTTTTCTTTTTTCTTTTTTTTTTTTTTTTGAGACAGGGTCTCACTCTGTTGCCCATGCTGGAGTGCAGTGGCATGATCCCGGCTCATTCTAACCTCTGCCTCCCAGGTTCAAGCAATTCTCCTGCCTCAGCCTCCTGAGTAGTTGGGATTATAGGTGTGCACCACCATGCCTAGCGAATTTTTGTATTTTTAGTAGAGATGGGGTTTCACCATGTCTCAAACTTCTGGCCTCAAATGATCCTCCCGCCTTGGACTTCTTAAGTGCTGGAATTATAGGCATGAGCCACAACACCTGGCCTCCTTGCTTTTTATGGGAAGTACAGACACCATCTCCTTGAGAACCTCCATGGTTGTAACAAAGCTGCACTCTCCTGAGAAAGGTCAGTCACCACCAAGGACTGGGATCAGCGTTCTTGGCTGCAGGTCTCTGCCCTAAAGTGTGCTTGCTTTGCTGGTACAGGGTGTTTTACAAACACATTGAACTCCATCATGCCCATGAAAGGGTTTATTAATGCATTCAGTTACAAATGAGAGATTTAAAAAAAATAGAAAACAGTGACAAGGTAACGAATGCTTCCCTTGTGTATGGACTGAGTCATTCGACATTAGGAAAGGTTCTAAAGCACAAAGGGTAAGTGTGTAATATATAAAGGCTGCCTTACCTCTGTGGTCAACAATAATCAGCAACGGATGCAAAAAGCAGTAGAGAAACTCCAAAGGATTTAAAGTGCCATGGCTTGAAGGCAAGGCATCCGCAGTCTACCAGAGCTGTCCGGAAGAATGCCAGCTGTTTTCCTGGACACTTCGAGCCTAGGAGTGATGAAATGTTTGCCTCAGGCCATGAATATTTCCTCTATGTAAGGCCCCTTTGAATTTGCTTGACTTCCAAATGCAGTGGAGTGGTGGACTCGAAGCTAAGGAGATTCTTAACACTTGCAGATGTTATCTGTCCCAACGGAATTTTCAATGTAGAAAAAAAATGGATTTGTTGGGGAAAAACGTACCTGAGGGTGCATTCCCCTGTTCAGAGGAGGAACATGTGCGTAAATTTAAAACACGCCCGTTTGCTGGAAAGGAGTCTCAGGGCTGCAAGCTTACACTCTTCCCAGGCAACTGAACTGACAAACAGTGCACTTAAGAACCATCTTTCAGGACTTAACCTGCTTCTACGTGGAGCAGCCTCTCAACATGAAGAATCTTGCTGCGCCTGGCAGCTACTTCGTTATTTCTCCACAAATGTGACATGTCAGCTCACATTTGTAAACGTGGGGCTCGTTTTTAAAATTCCGAGGGCATGAACAGATGGTATAGTTCCAGCCTAGACTCTATCATTCTGTAATCTTTTGGAGTTGATAAAAGACTGGCTTCCTTAGAGGTTTTAGCTCTGCAGAGCGCGAGCCAGGAGCAGCTCAGAAGAGCACAGGAAAGCAGGTTTGACCCCCTTGGTGATTTACTTCCCTTTCCTTTTTCCTTTTCGAGTCCAGCAAAGTCCAAGACCTTGGGATTCCAGCCAAACCTACTGGCTGAGGCAGAGAAATGAGCAAGAAGCATCAGCCAGCCTGCTGGCCCAGGCACTGACTCTCAGTTGCCCACTAGGATTGAGTTCTGGAGCTGCTTACAATTCCACATCGTTACTGTATAAACCTTAGAAGAAGGATATACTATGACTTATTTTAATGTAGTATGTGTCTTTGAAAAACTTTTTATTTTGAAATAACTTTAGACTTATGGAAAAGTAAAAATCCTACAGAGGTTATTTGTATATCCGTCACTCGGCTTCCCCTGTGGTGTACGTCTTACAGAATGTAAGCACTAGAGCTAAATGATCAAAGCCCAGAAAGTAACTGTGGTGCAGTACGACTAACTAGACTACAGGCTTACTTGGAGTTCACCAGGTTTCCAAGCGAGGGTCCCGTAGTGCATTTAGTCTCTGAATCTTCAATAGTTCCTCAGTCTTTGTCATTCATGATTTTGTTACTATTGAAGAAAACCAGTTTGTTATGTTGTAGAATATTCCTCTGTTTGAGTTTCTCTGTTGATTTCTTTCCCTCCTTCCTTTCCTTCCTCCTTCCCTCCCTCTCTCCCTCCCTTCTTTCTTTCTCTTTCTTTCTCCTTCCTTCCTTCCTTCCCTCCTTCCTTCCTTCCTTCCTTCCTCCCTCCCTCCCTCCCTCCCTCCTTTCCTCCCTCCTTCCTTCCTTCCTTCCTTCCTTCCTTCCTTCCTTCCTTCCTTCCTTCCTTCCTTCTTTCCTTCTCTCTCTCTCTTTCTCTCTTTCTTTCTTTTTCTTTCTTTCTTGACAGAGTCTTGCTCTTGTCACCCAAGCTGGAGAGCAGTGCCGTGATCTCACCTCACTGCAGCCTCCACCTCCTGGGTTCAAGCAATTCTTGTGTCTCAGTCTCCCAAATAGCTGGGATCACAGGGACCTCCCACCACAGCCAGTTAATTTTTGTATTTTTAGTAGAGATGGGGTTTTGCAATGTTTGCCAGGCTGGTTTCAAACTCCTGACCTCAGGAGGTGATGTGCCCTTCCGCAGTGCACAGTATCAAGGAATTCACTATGTCTGTGATTCTTGTTAATCGTGATGTTTGCCGTGGCCACTTGATTAAGGAGCTGATTATGCTGATGTAAAGTTACCATCTTTCCTTTTGTAGTTAATAGATATTTTGAGGGAGATACTGTTACACTACACAAATATCCTATTTCTTCTCAAACAGTTGCCCACTAATGGTAACCTCCATTGGTGAATCTTGCCGGCAGCAGTTTTAACTGTGGTGTTCTAAGGAAGATTCTCCTCATTTCTCCCACATTTGGTAATTGGAATTCTTCTATAAGGAAGAGCTCTCTCTTCTTCCTCATTTATTTATTTATTTTTGAATTATTTATTCATATCAGTACGGACTCATGGGTGTTTATTTTATCCTATGTGCTATGATCTAATTATATTATTATTTATCCTGTATAGCAAAATGGTTCCAGCTTTGACCATTGGGAGCTCTTGCAGGATGGTTCCTGTGTCTTTTCTTTTTCTTTTTCTTTTTGTGAGACAGTGCCTCACTCTCGTTCAGGCTGGAGTGCTGTGGTGCAATCATGGCTTACTGCAGCCTCTACCTCCTGGGCTCAAGCAAACCTCCTGCCTCAGCCCCCTGACCACATGGGACTATAGGCATGTGCTACCACACCTGGCTAAGTTTTTTTCTTAGTTTTTAAGGTTTTTAAAATAGAGATTGGGTCTCACTATGTTGCCCAGGCTAGTCTCAAACTCCTGGGCTCAAATGATCCTCCTGTATTGGCCTTCCAAAGTGCTGGGATTGCAGGTGTGAGTCACCACGCCCAGCCTCCTGTGTGCTTTTAATCATTGCCTTTTTGAAGCATTTCATTTCTTATTTTATGGCACTACAAGATATTCCAGGCTTATCGTATATTTTCCCTGACTCACCTGCACCAACTGTTTCCCTAAGGAGCCCTGGTTCCTTTTAATAGAGAATAGCGTTTTTCTTTCTTTTCTTTTCTTTTTTGAGATGGAGTCTCACTCTGTTACCCAGGCTGGAGTGCAGTGGCATGATCTCAGCTCACTGCAACCTCTGCCTCCCAGGTTCAAGCAATTCTTCTGTCTTAGCCTCCTAAGTAGCTGGGACTCCAGTCACTCACCACCATGCTCGTAATTTTTGTATTTTTATTAGGGATGGGGTTTCACCATATTGGCCAGGCTGGTCTCGAACTCCTGACCTCATGATCTGCCTGCCTTGGCCTCCCAAAGTGCTGGGATTACAGGTGTGAGCACTGGGTATAGTCATTGCTATTGACATTGTACTGTCATTGCTTCTAGGCCCTCTCATTAGAAAAAGCTAGGAAACATATGTACAGGTGTAACTCAGAGACATTGCGGATTTAGTTACAGACCATTGCAGTAAAGCAAATATCATAA